TTTTGGGAGCCACAGGACACGGGTGCAGGGGTGAGCATGGCAGGAGACTCTAGACACCAGTGTCCGAGCAAGTGCCAAGGCCTCGGTGCGGCCACTCACGTTCGATGACAAAAACGTTCGCCTGGGAACGGATCCACTTGACTTTGGGGCTCTTCGACAAGTGGTTGCGGTCGGGGTCGTTGCTAGCCCGGCACTCATACATGCCCGAGTCGTCGCCCGTGAGGTTTGCGATGGAGATGGTACTGGTTGAGTGCAGGTTGTAGGTGGCGTTGATTTTGACACGGTCCTGCCGTGCGCCATCCCAGAGCTGAGCATAGGTCTCATTGGGCTCGTTCCCCTCAAACCACCACTGGATCTCGGGGATGGGATTGCCAATCGCCTCGCAGTACAGCTCCACGCTGTCCTGAGTCAGTCTCTTTTGAGACAGCGGTGACTTTATAAAACCAGCTATGAGTTGAAGAGGTATTAGTGCAAAGTGTTAGTGCAAAGCAAGAATTCACCCTCGACAAGCAAAAATAACCCTCAGTGGTTGAGAAGAGGCCACACACCACCTCCAGGTCAGGGTGCTCTCCCCTCCCTCCCCTCCACGCTCTCAACTCTGCCAGGCTCAGGGCTGTTCGCCCTAACGTTGTCTCTCCTGCAGCTCTGCTGCAAAACCAGCACAGCCAAACCAGCCCTGGGTGTTTGCCACTATCCAGACCGGACACCCACAGCATGGCCCACCTGCCACGAGGGACACCACAGCCCCAGGGCAGGCCAAGGGCTGCAGAGCTCCTCGACACCCACCCAGCCCCAGCAGTTTGGGGTGAAAACACCACGTTTCTGCCTCTGCAGTGCCTGTGCTCTGGTGCTGGAAGGCTGGGATGGCAAGGCAGGACCCCCATGTGTGCACCCAGAGCACAGACTGAGCCCTCCCAGTCAGTCTGCCCAAGACAAATGCAGTGGGCAAAGTGTCTCATTCTGCCCCTCAGCCCAGAAGGAGTGTGTCTGTTCCCCCTCACTGCACAGCCTGAGGCTGGCTGGCCCTAACTGGGGTCTGGCCAGCCCTAACTGGAGTCTGGCTGGTCCTAACTGGGAGCTGGCCGTGGCCCAGGCCCCCCCTGCATAGTGCTGAGCTCCACGTACCGTCCCATGCGCTCTGCCTGCTCACGCGCTTCCTTCTCCCCTCTGCTCCCCCAGGGAGCCAGCAGAACTTCCCAGCACAACACTGAGCTAACAACTTTAAGGGAAGAGGGAGGTCTTGCAGCCTGCAAGACTTCACGAACCAAGAGGGGAAACACAAACTCGTCATATGAACAGTGAAATCAGACTTTTTGTCTTGGGCAAGAGCAGCTTGCAGAGCTGAGCTGGCAGTAAGCAACTCAGGGGCACAGGCAGCAGCTGCAGGCTGGAATTTGGGTATTTTTCCCTCTGCCCTTGCAGCCAGAGGGTTCGGCACTGGAATCATCCAGTCCAAAGGTCGGTTTGAGTGCCACAGGCTGCGGGAATTGGAGCTGCCAAACACCTCCAGGGCAGCACCCACAGCCCCAGGAGCCTTCTGGGGCAGGAAGGGAGGGAGGCTCAGCAGCTCTGCTTCGGGAAAAGCTATCAGGCACAGGTCATACGTGACTCCCTCAGCCAGGCCTCAGAAAAAGGAGTTAAGCTTGTGACACGTCCTTCCTGCACACCAAGAGCCTCACAGGAGACTGATTCACTCAGTTAAAGGCACTGCATGACCACACACAACCCTCTGTCAATGCTCTGTGGTGCAGGGGCACAGAGGAGGTGGGTTTGGGAGAGGTTTTTTGTGTTTTGAATGCCTGAAGATGCTTTAACAAGAAATCCCCGAACTGTTTTGTTGCAAAAGTACAAACAAATCAGTGTCACAAATGCAAGTTTGCCCAAACTCAAGAAAAACACAAGTCACTCAGTAGGCTAAGCTCGAGTCCTAATGAAACCAATCCCACGTGTCTCAAAGGAAAAATTAGCTTTACATACTGAAGCTTTAAGCCTGAAAGAAAAGGACTCACATTTGTGACCAAAATGCTCTCAGAAGGCTGACACAGACTGTAACCAAGTGGGAGTCCCCAGAGACGTGCAGGACGTGGTATCACTGTGAGCAGCTCTCACACCCCACGTTCCACTCACTCTGTGCCACAGGGGATTTTCACACCACAGGCTTGTGATCACACACTTCCAACTCTGACAAGTCCTGCACTTGTACGAGCCTGTCCACTCTAACTGCAGCCAGAATTACAGCCGGAGCTGGGAAAGATCAAGGGTTTTACAGCTACAAGGTGATTACTGTGTGCTGACAAAATAAGCTGTGCAAGGTTATTTGCTCCGAGTTAGAGGGTACCTCATGCAATTCAGACAGGTTAAAAGGCTCTAGCAAGCAGCAGCAACAACAAGTACCATCTGCATTCCCATGGGATTAGTGTTCCTCCTGCTCCCACCAGAAAGCTGAGCAGGAGAGCCCAATCCTGGGCTCTATGGGCTGGGGAAGGCATCTGCTGAGCCCAGGGACCAGCAGCACGACCAGCACCAACCCACTGGAACCAGTCAGGGCTGCTGCCAGGCTCCCCAAAGGGTAAAGGGCTGCAAATGGGAAACAGCTCACAGAGCCCAGACACTCCCCGTGGAGCTAAGCTGGACACCGCTCCAGGCAGTGTGGTATCTGATCCAGCAGGACAGCAGGGAGCAGATAACGTTCCCCCGAGTCACCTTCAAACTAAAAACAGCCTCTCCCTGCTGCGAGGGAGGAGCCCCCGGGCTGTAAACAGTGCCTGGACGTGCTCAGGGCGGCTGAGCCTGGTCAGAGCCCTCTGCCCCGCGGGGTATGTGCTCCTGCCCAGCCTGACCTTTGTTTCTCGGCCTCGGAAGGGAATACTCGAGGCTCTGGCACTTTTTTTGCCATTTCCACTAACAGCTATAAAATCTGCCCTTAAGCCTCACACAGACAGGTCAAAGTCGGGGTCCCTCCCAAGGGCACAGAGTCCAGGCACACACCAACCTCTGCTCCAACCCACTGGTCCACGAGGTGAGCTGCCAGCCAGTCTGCTCCACCGAGCATGAACACTGCTGAGAGCTCAAGTCCTCTTTTTCCAGCCCTGCTCTGCTACCTCGAGGCACCAGCACTACTACACACCAAGCCCAGAGCTGTGGGGCTGGGGAGGACACAGGTGTTACACAACCCCGGGGGCAGGTTCCTTCTGACCACGGATAGAAACTGCTCCTCCACATCCCACTGGTGCCAGGCCCTAGGCAGGAGGGTGCTGGCCACGAGCCCTCAGCCCTGCAGGAAGCAGGACACAGCCAACCTGGGAAGACCCAGGTGAGTTTATGAGACTGCGTGAGGTTTAGAAGGTTCTCCCCTGCCCTCCTGTTCTGCAGAGTTAAAATGCAATTCTGCGGAAAGGGAACACCGGAGCAGAGACTTCTATCGTGCCCCTGGATCCTCCAGAATCCTCCCACTCCTTCACCTCCAGTTCTTGGATTTGGCTCTACTATGCTGGAATGACAGCACAAACGGGCTACAAACTGCCTAGTGCCCAAAGGAGGCAGAAACAGGAGCCACCACCGGCGATCAGACAGCCCTTTCCACCGTCACCTCCCGCCCGAGCTCCGCCAGCGCAGCCCAGACGCTGAGCACGTGCCGCACGGAGCCACAGCGCGGGGCGAGCGGGAGGTGCTG